CATGGGACTATGGCAGCAAAAATAAAAGACTTGTGAGCACTTAACCTTGGGAATGTAGAAGAGTTTATAGAAACAGCAACAACAAGGTATCGTGAACAAAATACACAAGAGAACGTCGTGTAATCAAACAAACACGGGAATATCCTGTATGTAGCCAATCACACAAGGGAACATCATCATGTAGCCAAACACACACATGAAAATTATCATGCAGCCAAACACACACAGTATAATCACCATGTAGCCAAACACACAAAGGAAAAACATCATGTAGCCAAACACACCAGGGAACAACATCATGTAGCCAAACACATAAGGGAACAAAATGCAGTATTATCACAGGATTACAGCTCGCCTTCCAACGCCAACCTTGCACACCCTCCTCAGGCTGTACCCCTACCCAGTGACGATGATGGCAAATTATACAGTCGACCCTGCTCTAAGGGCCAACTGTCCAAGACAATCACTTGGTCTAACGACAACATCTCCCTTCCTCCCTTGCAGTTTTTTTGGGAAAATATCATAACAGCACTGCCCAAGACATCCACCTGTCTAAGACAACTACTCTTCTCCTCAGCAGCGAGAGGCCGTCTTCAACAATTTCGACTTATATTCACCGAATGGGTTGCAGGTGAACATCCGAGTCTTGTTTGGGGTTTTTTTTCTCTGGCTAACGTTCACATACAAACGTAGACACGTAAATGGCACCGGCCTTGGAGCAGCGATGAGAACCGTTGCCTGCACCGTCAACTGAAGTATCAATCCGAAACCTGTTTTTTTTCCCCTTGTCATTATGCTCATAGCAAAAAACATGGACTTCACCAGCGACACGACAGCGGCGTATAAATTGTCATCTGCTGCACTCTTCAAAAAAAAAAAAAAAAAAGAAAAAAAAACAACCCCCAAAAACATAAACGTTCACCTCCAGAAAGAGAACTTCTAACTGTGTGAATCAATGATAAGACGTGAAGTTACTCAACACTTTCTTCCCTATTCTCCTTATCTCCACGGTAGCCTCCTTATTCCCAAGTCGTGTAGTCTTCCGCTCGACAAACGGATACATCTTCTTGAAAAACTCACACGGGACGTACTCGTACTCATAAAACGGGACCATGGGTCTATTCCTGAAGTGGTCGTAATCCCGACTAACGCACTTTTCCGGGTCGTACATGGTGGCGCACAGCTGTTCAAAGTCTTTCGGCACGGGCACCATCTTCCCATCAAACGGGCGGTAGGTGAGCGGGAAGATGTCCAAGACCTTGAAGAGCATGCGATGCTTCTTGATGCGAGAGAGCGACCACATGAACTTGGAGTCCTCCGTGTAGAAAAAGATGTCTATGTTCGGGTAGCGGTAGAATTTCTCACCCACCGGGTGCAGCGACTTCTCGTAGAAGAACTTGTACATCATGTACGTGCTGGTGTCTACGTCGAACCCGGGGATGCAGTGAAGAATCTGAAAACGGAATAACAATAAGGAATAAAGGTTTTCTTTCTTTTAATGTTGGTGTTGGGGATGTTGGTGGTGGTGGTGTTGGTGTTGGTGTTGGTGATGGTGGTGTTGGTGGTGTTGGTGGGGGGGGGGGGGGGGGGGTACGCTTCCATCAACCAGATTTAGATAATTATTTTAAAAGGCGGGCTTACTTATAACCTTGCCTATTAGGACCAACCCAGACCTAGAAGGATACAATACCCTTGTAGTAAGACCGAGATAGTCGATAAAAATGTTCTTCCCATTCTGGAATCACAGTCAGCTCTCCTGCATGCGACAGCCAAACGCCTTACCGCTACACCACAGACGTCTGTTTTTGTTTTTTTTGGGGGGGGGGGTGTAATTTAGATCTAGTTTTAATATGAGTTTACAGAACTAGTAATGCAATTTATTCATATCATGAGTGCCGAATATTAGAGGTGATACAAGAGAGTAACAAACAAAAAACAAAAATAGTAATAGAGATCAGGACGATAGTTGTTTGATAGAAAAAAAAGATCTAACCACACAAGAGCACCCACTAATCCCCCGCACTCATGCCAGTGTGTCAACCTGTTCTGTCGCGTCCACAGAATTTACCAGAATTTACCAATTTACCCCCCCAAAAAAACCCAACCCCTTTACCTATGGATACACCAATAAAAGCGGTTAAAATAGAGAAAAAACACAATAATATACCACAGATGTATTTGGTCACCATCCGGATTTATTGTGACAAAATTACAAATAAAAATTCCAAGTTTGAAGGACGTTAGAGCACATGCTGAATGTGGCGTCCGTTTCGGGCGATGTACCGTCTGAGGCGCTTGATGAAATATTCTATGGCATTGTCCATTTGCTCCAGAGGAATGTCTCTGACGTTGGTGGTAACAGGGTCTCTCAGCTGCTGGGGAGTTGGAACGTTACAGCCACAAATTCTATCCTTTAGGAACCCCCAAAGGTGGAAATCTACAGGGTTGAGATTGGGTCTGTAAGAAGCTCACAGACTCCATCACCACTGCCACATTCCCAGGAGAGCGCACTTGCATCGGTTTTCCACTGGGTGACCCTAGTTTTTATCCCTTGTTTTTATTTTCAACAGAGTTATGTGACTTGGAAGAGAGCAACCCACGCAGGCACTGTTACTTTACTTGGTATTTTCTTATGATCTTTAGTGCTAGTTCCAAACCGTTTACAGAAGAGATTCCGTGTCTGTACAGGGGGGGGGGGGGCTTTGTTTCGATATAATCATGTTTCAACCATACAAATACGTTGTTCAACAGTGAACTCTATCTTCGGAGTGGCCACGGCTGCTTCCAAGGTACTGTAGTTTTTGTTACGTATTTCTCCTTCTGCGTGGGTCAGCTTGCTTCCTTTTAATTTCCGTGTGAATTGTGCACTTTGGTGGAGAGTTATAGGCTTTCCCGCGAATAAGGTTTTCTTGAGGTCAGTAGGTATATAGGTAAATGAGGAGTTGGGCTGCTTGACCCTGCCTGCCACGGCCAACTGATGTTTACTAGGATACACAATCGCAAATGAATGTAAACGTTTTACGTACCCATCAAAATTGTTTTACAGATCATCATTGCGAAATCAGTGTTGCTTCACTTTCCCCTAAGTTGTCAAAGCCGACTGCAGTCTAATGGTACACAGCATCCTAGCAGAGCGATAGATGTTCTGATGCGGGAACCAATCAATTATCTTCAGTGTGCAAAGGCAAAGAGCCTTACTGAGTCAGTAAGACCAGTTCTCAACTTTCATAAAAGAGATCACACACACACACACACCCACACCCTCAAACACACACACACACACACACACACACCCTCGCACACACACACACACACACACACACACCCTCGCACACACACACTTACAAGCACACAAACACACTTTTTATTTAAACAAATCTCAACTATGTCTTTCTTCTTCTTCTTCTTCTTCTTCTTCTTCTTCTTCTTCTTCTTCTTCTTCTTTTTCTTTTTCTCTAAAATATCAGGTTGTTAGAATTCACCGACGATCATTTTTCATCTCTAATTCGCCAGCTCGGACGCTCACTAAATCCTAGTATGTCCCTGGTTTGACCCAGCCCTAACTAATTCGAAATCAAATCCGCCCTCACCTGTTTGACTTTAAACCAGTCCGAGCCGTTTATAGCCACGTCCATATCGTCATCCCAGGGTATGTAACCATGGTGACGGTAGGCGCCCAGCATACTGCCTTCCATCAAGAAGTAGGTCACGTTGAACAGCTCCATTGCAACGTGGAAGGCTTTGAAGACGACGCGCAGCTCCCTCTGCTGGAGGGCGGTCAGAGGGGAGAGAAAGGTGGCGTACCTGTGGAAGATGCACGTCATGCTAGTTTACTTTTTTGTAGGGAGTTTCACGGCACTTTAATGCAACACAATAAAGTCATATAAGTGCAGAAAATTAGAGGTGGTACAAGAGAGTAACAAATTAAACACAAGAAGGAGGAGAGAGAAGGACGATAGACGTTTGAAAGGAACGAAGAAGCAAACCACACCAGAGCACCCACCAACCACCCACACGTCGTGTTAGACGTCAGACAGGTACACACACACACAGAGGTGTGTACACGGACACTCACAAACGCGCACACGCAACACACACGTAGGCAAACACACACACACACACACACACACACACACACACACACGCATATAGTAACATACATACAAAACATACAATATATACATACACACATATATACACACCCACCCACCCCCACCACAAACACACATGAAAATACACATACACGAACGCACGCACATACACACACGCACACACACACGCACACATACATACTTACACACATACATAAATACATAACATACACACATACACACATACACGTGCACGCACGCACGCACCCTTCCCCTTCCCCACCCCCATACACACACACCAACGTGCATATATACACATATACATACACACATCCATATAATACACACACACACACACACACACACACACACACATATA